CTTATTTTCTTTTCAATAACTACTATATATTTTGATCCGAATCAAAACGGGATTAGATTATTCAAAAACAAAAATTCATAATTATTTTTAATAGATAAGAAAAATTAAAAATAACAAATATATTATGTTTGATCAAAATTTAACGTTATTACATTTATGTCCAATATATATCATTTTGTACGTTTATAAATATTTGAATACATGTATAAATATTAAATTCGATTAAAAACATATTTAATTATTTAATCCCACGTTTGACATGGATCAAAATCTTGTTTTTTTTATTAATCATGAACATCCGCGTATACACGCGGGAAGTTTTAGTAAATATTTGTGTTTTTAAAAATCCAATGTGTAAATTTGTTATATTGCCGTCTATTGATGTAGACCGAATTGTTTTCCGACTCCAAATTGGTTGTTTCCAATTATATGAATTTTTTTATTTAAGGTAAAACCGTGAAAGAATTTATTTAAACGATTTCAAAGAAGAAATCATGAGAAGGCTTAACGAACTAATCAAATACTTTTTGATTTTCTATCTTCGTTGGAAAACAAAGCAAAAACATGGACAATATTTATTTACGACCATCGAAAAATATTTAGAGTGATAAATATTTTTATTTAATATTTTAGATGTGTTATGCATGGTTGTTTTAGAGAAGTATATTTTTCTCCATCTTTTTCTACATTTGATTTATAAATATTATCTCCAGCTTGGTGTGCATTTGATTTATAAATACATTTAAGAGGTAAACACTACGCATTAGCATCGTTATTACACAGTTGAAACATTCCTTTCTCTTATCAAAAACAACATATATATGTTCTTAGTTCTTGATTAGCAAAACATTTAAATTAGTCTCATGCTCTAATCATTAAAACTTGATTGGTAGACAAAACATTAAGCAGAGCATTTAGTAACTGCTAATACTCTCCAAATGTTCTTACCCTCAATGCTCTCCAAATGCTTTTACCTTCAATACTCCCAAATAGAGTTTTTCCAGAGCATTGACCTAAGATATTATTAAAAGATATTAAAAAAAAATAGCTAACTTTTTTATATACAAGATCAAAAATAAATTATATTAACT